CCCCCCCCCACCCCCCCCCCCCCCCCCCCCCCCCCCCCCCCCCCCCCCCCCCCCCCCCCCCCCCCCCCCCCCCCCCCTAGTGTGTTTTATTTTTAACCTCTGAAAATGTTTTTTTAAAAAAATCGATCACCCATAATTATTTCACTGCGCCTATTATATGATCAAAGATTTTCTCAGCGAAGATCAAAATGCCGATATATAATAAGAAGAGTAATATGTCCGTTTTTTGGAACAAGATGCGGGAAAATCGATTAACATCGTGATGACATGTTTAGAGAAACTAGGCGAGCAATAAACCAACTTACTTTATTATTACTTTGCGGAAAATACGAGTTTGTTTGATTGTAAATATCGATGATGCAAATTATGGTAAGTTAGATGGTCAGTTTGATTTTTACCTTACTTGCAAAAGGCGGATTAAAGGATTCACTAACAGGGACATTACCTTTTTATATAATTCACAGGATCGGTTTTCTTATACACTTTTGGGGAATTGATCTCATAACGTCCTTAATTTGACAATAAGAAAATTTAAAGCTATACATATGTAAAGAAGGTAATCAAGGGGCCTTTCCTTTTTTAATAATAATATTACGTAAGAATTTGAGAATATGCGAGAAATAATTATTTGGCGCAATTACTTGTTCGTGATACCTCTATACTAAAATGTTTCGAATACTGCAACGATTTCGCAACTTGATCGAGAAAAAATATATTAGAATACAGACAAACCCACAAACCCATAACCCACTCCATTATGCGACTGCAAATTTGGTAAATTAATTGCGCAAATTGCGTCTTTCTTTATTGATCGTACAATAAATCTTTCATGTGTAAGATTGCTTTATAAGACAAAACTAATAAATTAAACTTATAAGACTCTGTAACATTAGATCTTACGCAATAACCTGTACTAGTGGGTAAACTATTATAACGATTGTAATTATTATTTTAGTATCAATTTCTTTCTTTTCATATCATTCTCTTTAATTCTTTAATTAAAGAATCCGGATTAATATTATTTATTTCATGGGGGAGTTAGGGATAAGATGTATTTATCCCGAAAGGAAAAAACCCATGGTATTCCCTCCCCAGGAAGGTGTCAGGGATTGGGAATCGATTCTAAAATGTAGAATTGATTATAGAATCGTTTCTCGAGATTCGATTATAAGGTTCGATTTTCCGATTTTCTTTTTTGATTCATGATATTCACATGATTTTTGATCATATGCAAACCGGATAATATAATCCATTTAGTAATTTATTGTTTTTCATCTGCAACTTCCTTATATTTGATGTTAAAATAATTTAAATTAATGCACACCTTGAAGACTATGGTTGGAACATGTATAAGTAGGCGAAATTTTCTTTTTTCTTCTTTTAACAAACATTTTAAAATAACAAAATGGCTGATATTTAAAAATGTACCAATGTTAATTTCAACAACAGTAGATCACTATCGTAATGGTTCGCCTCAACCTTCTTGGGGTTTAAAATTTCATTTAATGTTTGAATTGGTCAAATCATTTGGAGAAGACGAACAAACGATTGTTCATAAACAAAATCAGTAGTTCTCCTGTTACTATACCGGCTGGTATAAATATAAATGAATATACAATGAATATACAATGAATATAGGCATAAAGCTCAAGTTCATCTTGATAAATTTTGAAACCTTATGAGCATATTGTCTTGGACATCGAATGGAAAGTTTGAAAGAGGATGAGATTGCTGCTGATTGGGTTCGGGTTCCTGAAGATAGAGTAAGTCAATTTATTTAAATTCTTTTTTAAGTATTAATTTAATTTATTCAACTTAAATGTAATCCTTATATAGCATTCGATTATCGGCTTGCACCTCAAAACCAATTTCCTGCCGCATTACAAGATGCATTGGCTGCTTATTTATATCTCTTAAGTCCCCCAAAGGATGCAGGATTTGAACCTTTAGATCCAAAAAAATATCTTTATGGCTGGTTCTATTCTAATGCCGGTGGTGGTTTAGGTATAGCTTTGGAACTTGTCATACGTGATGCAGGATTGCCAATGTGTGCTGGCATAATCGGATGGGTAAACAAAGAAAATTTACTGCATTGAACCTACTTTATATTTTAACTCCTCTCTATGGCGCTACATAACAGCCTTTGCCTTCAGTTTTGAGTAGTAAATATGACACTACTGATTATGTCAGTATTTTACTTATGATGGCATCAATAATATTTGATAAAAATAATCCTTGTGTTACTCAAGTTGAAATTGATTATAAAGAAAAGGCTGCTGCGCTCTCGGCAAAAATCAAAAACAAAATGTTGAACCAAAAATTTAGTATGATTCGTTTGATAGAACTGAGAGAATGCAAATGTATGTTCCTATTGAAGGTAGCAATACCATATGTTGGCTGAAAGCTTAGCCGATTTGCCTCCTTTGTATTTGGTGAACAAAATCACGTAATAATTGAATACTTTCAAAGATAAAAATTTAACTTTTTTTGAATTATATAGATAGCAGGAGTGCAGAAAGATTACTCGAAGAAATTACTTACTTAGCTTATAGATCTTCTAAATATAAAGTCTATCATTGATTATACCCTCGAATCAAATATTTCTCAATGAGATGAGGTACCAACCAAATTTGAAAAAACCTAATAGTTACTTAGAATGGCGGAATAGAAAAATGTCTGTTGTGAATTAAAAATGACATTATTTTTATGATCTGATAAAATTATAAATATTCAAACGCATTTATTTTTATTGTTTACAATCAATAATTTTAAATTTCCGCTTATTGCAATGAAATAAATCTTTGTTAAATTTACAATAAAGACTTAAGCCATTTGTTTTAATTATTTTCGTATATTCATTTGAGAATGATTCGTCTTCACGAGTTGTTGCATTATCTTTTCAAATGGTCCGAATACTAAAAATATACTTAGCAAAGTGCTATTTAAAGATATAAATAATTTCAGTTTTACTTTACTGCCCAATGTATAATGATTTTCTGAAATGGAATTCATACATTGCAAATATTGGGTTTCTTGTAAAATATTTATTTATCCCAGTTGAAAATTGGTCTGCGCCATAGAGATATACTGTAATCGATTGGTCAAATAGGCATAAACACTAAATACGAATTAGGAAAAAAAAAAATACTCAAATGACTAGTATAAATAAGACATCTTCCATAGACTGCTGATGTGCAAGATTATCAATGAACCAGATAACTAGAATTCGTGATCAGGAACTAAATTTCTTTTTTCTTCTTCATTAACAAGCATTGTAAAATAGCAAAATGGCTGATATTTATAAAAAAATTCCAATGTTAATTTCTACAACATTAGATCATTATTGTAATGGTCCGCCTCAACCTTCATGGGATTTAAAATTTCATTTAATGTTTCAATTGAGAAAATCATTTACAGATGACTTCATTGATCTAACAATTGAGCAAAAACAAGAATCTAGTAGACTTCCTGTTCCTATACCGGCTGGTATAACGATAATTAAATCTAAAGTAGACAATGAATATAGACATAAAGCTCAAGTTCATCTTGATAAAATTTTGAAACCTTATGAACATGTTTTGGACACCGAATGGAAAATTTTGAAAGAGGATGGGATTGCTGCTGATTGGATTCAGGTTCCTGATGATGGATGGGAAAGAAGAGTTGTTAGGAAAACAATTTTTTTTTTACATGGTGGAGCTTATTTCTTGAGTAGTAAAGATCGTCATGTCAATATTACTAGCACTCTTGCTAAAAAAGCAGATGCAAGAGTGTTTGGTAAGTAAAATCACTTCGTTTAAATTCTATTGTGTATATTAAAATTATTCTAACTTAATTATCATTCTTAATAGCAATCAATTATAGGCTTGCACCTCAAAACCAATTTCCTGCCGCATTACAAGATGCATTGGCTGCTTATATGTATCTCTTAAGTCCCCCAAAGGATGCAGGATTTGAACCTTTAGATCCAAAAAATATCTTTATTGCTGGTACTAGTGCCGGTGGTGGTTTAAGTATAGCTTTGGGACTTGCCTTACGTGATGCAGGTTTGCCAATGTGTGCTGGCATAATCGGATGGGTAAATAAAGAAAATTTATTGCACATTATTTTAACTATTTTACATTTTAACGTCACTTTCTTGCGTTACATAACAGGCTCCATGGGTCGACCTTACGCATAGTTCGCCTTCTTTTTTGAGTAATAAATATGATAATATTGATTTTGTCAATATTTTACTAACCATGCCATCAATTATACATGATAAAAATAATCCTCGAGTTACTCAAGTTGAAATTGATTATATAGAAAAGGCGGCTGCGCTCTCGGAAAAAATCAAAAAACAAAATGTTAAACCAAAAATTTGGCATGATTCATTTGATAGACCTGAAGGAAGAATGCAAATGTATGTTCCTAATGAAGGGTTAGCAATTCCATATGTTAGTCCAATGTTGGCTGAAAGCTTAGGAGATTTGCCTCCTTTATATTTGGTGAGAACAAAATCTCGAATTTCTTAAATACTTTTCTAAGAGAAAATTTTTAATATTTTTTGAATTATATAGATGGCAGGAGGTGCTGAAAGGTTACTTGAAGAAATCATTTACTTTGCTCATAGATCTGCTGAACCAACTAAATATAAAGGTCCATCTTATAATGCTGGTAAATTTGAAAAATCTCCATTCCATACTCCAACAAATACTACACTAGAAATATACGAAGAAATGCCACACGTATTCCAGGTAAAGTATATTGTATTTTTTTTTTAAATATTTTTTTTTTTAAAAAAATTACAAAATAAGATAAAACTTTTCAAATTTATATTAGATGTTTAACTCTCACGCCTGTATTGAAATATCGTATAAACATACAGCAGAATTCATTAATAGAGTTTTAGATTCTACTAATAAACCACTTCCTCCGTCATCTTTCAATCGTGTAAATGACAAAGAAGAAATTAGTCCATTGAATGAACATGATAAAGAAGTTCTTAAATGGGAATATTTTGGTATTGTACCAAGTTTTGATCTCTCTGCATTCAAAGTTCCTTCACGTAAATTGTAAGTAAAATCAAATAAATTTATGTTAGTATAAGGAAGCGTTCGACTTATTTAAGAAACTTTTTTTTTTATATTTTAGTATACTGGAATTTTACATCTTTCTAGCATTATTATTTGGGATATTATCGTTTATCTTGTCTAAATTTATAAATTATTTCGCGTAATTAAGAAAAATCCATTTATAAAGGTGTACTCATAATTATATCATATCTCAATGCTATATTATTATTTTTATTAAAAAAATAGCGGCATCGAATATTACTGTAATTTTATGTTACGAATGTTGGTAAAAATAATTTTTCAAATGAGATTTTCCTGATTCAATTGATTGCACTCACGAATCATATTTCTTTTTTCTGTCAATGAGTTACCAAGAACAAAGATAGCCAAACTGTGAATAAAATGTACTTCGCTTTGCAGTTCAAAATAATAGTTCTTGTTATTCGTTTACTATTTCTGATCTGTCAGAACCGATTTAAAACTCTTTTGAGTATTTGTGAATGATATACTTAATGTCTGTTGGTTTTTTTGCTTTTGTAAAATCTAATAGCTATTATTATCTACTTAGATAAGTGGCGGAATAAAAAAAATGTGAATTCAAACATTGAATAGTAATTTCTTCAGATTATTATCGATAAAAATTTGACAAAGTTCAAATAAGTCTTTACAAATTTCGTTAATCTGGAAAAATTAATATTTCAAACGCAAAATAGAGCTTTTATTTTTAATGTTTACGATAAATAATTTAAAACTCTGACACATTGCACCTTCGTTTTTCTCGACTGTAGATAGGGATTTTATCGGTTCGACTCGGTTCGGTTCAGTTCAAAAGCTGCCTTTGAGTTGAGCCGACCTCCGGTTAGTTATTTGAAGTTTAAACTGCAGTTGTAACTACGGTTCTAACTTCAGTTAATCACGTGTTTGAATTTTTATTGGTTAATTAATATAACCGCGGTTTGTATTTTAAAAAAATCCTTTGTTTTGAAAAATAAATTTAAAATAAATTTGATAATTATTTAAAAAAATGTAAACTGTTTGATAAATTCGTTTATTATATTTTATTGATAAAATAGCATTATTAAAAATACTATAAACCGGAAATAACAAGTTCAAACAATTTTATTATTAACTGAACCAGCATTTGTTCCATCCAGCTTTTCAAACACAAAGAAGCACGAGCTGTATTAGGATTAAGACGATTTCAGACTTTTGTTATAGTATGTGATACAACTGAAAATGCTTGTTTACTTGGTACACTAGTACCTTGAATAGCAAGATCATTTTTGATAAAATCAGAAATTTGTTTGCATATTGATGCCACCAAGATTATGACTCAGACTGTGTTAATAGTAAATACAAATATCTTTCTAATTCTCCTTCTAATGGTTGTGTTTCATTTTGTTGTTGCATAATTAAATTTTCAAAAAATGATCTAGCATTTGTATTTTTTTCTACAATATAATTTGAATTATCTAAATCTTGTGATGGTGTATACATAAGCATTCTTGTTTTATCACGTTGTTCTCCAAATGGAAAAGTAAGTAATTTTGAACTTGGATTAAGAATATTTGGAATAGTTGTAGAGGAATCAAGTATCTTCCAATAATCATCAATTTTTTTGCGTATAGAATCTGCTATAATGGATTCTTATAATGTGTGATCATCAATATATATCTCAATATATTGAAGAATTCCTGTAAAAGTTAATCTAATATCACTAACAGTTGGATACGAACTTGAAAAAAGTATTTTTGTTGCCTTATACATTGGTTCTAATAGGATGATCATTAACTGTACTTGATTTCATTCATTTTCATTAAGATAAAATGTTTTCAACTGTTTGTTACTACAAATAAGAAAATCAAGTTCTTCATGCATTCGTTTAAACTTTTCTAACATAAAAATATGCTATTCCATTGTGTAGTGACATCAAGTTTAGGTTTAAAATAATCCTTTTTTATTACATTACAATAACTGCGAAGTGCATCACAAAGAATAATAGAATGACAGATTTTATTTACAAATATTCTAACCTTATCAATAATTTCTATTCTTAATTGTATTCCATGATTAATTGCGATATTTAAAATATGTATTGCATATCAGAAATGTTAAAACTCTTCATTATTCCAAGTTTCTCCAAATTCAATTGTCATATTTTTACTACAAAAAACCATTGTTGCATCATTATCCATAATAAGAGAAAGAATTTTTCCATTAAGATTCATTTCGTCTATTAATTGAAGAAGCTTTTTCTTTATCCTAACGCTAGTATAATAATGCTCAAAGTGAATTAAATCAAGAAGAAAATGTCATATATTCCATTTATCATTGATATAATGAATAGTTACTCTCAGATAGTGTTTCGCATAGATCGGATTAGATCAGATTTGGGCAAAATCTGATTTAATCTGAATCTGAAAAATCTGAATTTGATTCGATCTGAATCTGATAAATCTGAATCCAAATCCATATCTGAATCTGACAAATCTAAATCTATATCTGAATTTGACAAATCTGAATTTATATTCGTATCTGATGGATCAAAAAAATTTTTTAACAAAAATCTGCCTCCACTGTTCAAAACGGCGTTTTAATATTAAAAAAAACAACAATTTTGTTGTTTTTTTAACAAAAATCTGCCTTTGACGTTTGGAACGGCGTTTTAATATTAAAAAAACAACAATTTTATTTTTTTTAACAAAAATCTGCCTTATTATTAAAAATTAATTTTTAATAATAAATGCTGCGTCTGACTTTTGGGACAGCATTTTATAGCTAATTTCATAATTCATGGACTATTAATAATTTTTCAGTCACATTCAGTCGCAATATTTTATAGTAATTTTATTA